GTAAGATTCAACACTTTTGCTGAGAAAACAATATACTAGTATTCAATACAGTTAGAATCCTTAGAATATGCATGCACATTCTTGGTTGATGCACCGAGAAGATATTGTCATAGTTACCAATTTTGATACTATATCCACTGAAGGGATTTCTACCATGAGTAGATTGGAATGTTAACTGAGACTTCATACTTACCTTGTGCAGGGGACGCCATGATCAAGAAGGCGGCTCCCTCAGGATGAGGCCCCTCCATTGCACTCGGTTGGGGCTGACGACTGCGATTTCCCCAAACGTGGGAAAGTCGGGCGCGCAATTTCTGGTAGTGGGGGTTTGCGTTCGCGCAGCCCCTGAAGAAAAACAATTGAAATAAAATTTGTGTTCTCCCAGAACCACCCATCCTTGTTGTGTATGCCTGCATGCATGCATAATTATACAGAACTGTAATAGAAGCATTTTTTGCGATGCAAGATGCGATGTGGCGCATCTGTGATGCCAACGAATGTTGTGCGAAGTCACGAATCACCATTCACAGATCAGCGAGTTGCCTTGCAGACGGATGCGCCTCAAACCGTAAAACGGTGTGTAAAATACCATAGCATTCGCACAGCTTGCTTTCTACTTGTACAGATCTGCAAGCAACTGTTGAAACTAGCGGAAACTTTTGCTGCAAAGAAGGTCCAAGTCACGCCTGGCATCGCATGTGACACCGCGAAAGTTGAGCCAATCCCAACATGTACAATTAGCCAGTTGTGAAAGCTGTGTGCGCTGCGCAGTGAGAGCTAGAGACTTCAGTGATAGCGTGTTTGGTTATAGGTTGGTAACCATCGACGTCCGTTGACGGTCGGACCGCTGATCGATAAATTCTACATTTTCAAGCTATCGGAACTTGGTCAATTCTCAGTCTTACAGAGATTGGAAAATCAAGATCAAAGAGAGAAGTCAAGTAGTTGTCATCTCAAACAATCACTGAAACGATGGATTAAGTAGTTTGAGAAAAAAGCGGCTTGTGATATTGTCATGGTTTTCGGTTTTTGATACTATATCCACTGAAGGGATTTCTACCATGAGTAGATTGGCATGTCAACAGAGACTTCATACTTACCTTGTGCAGGGGACGCCGTGATCAAGAAGGCGGCTCCCTCAGGATGAGGCCCCTCCATTGCACTCGGTTGGGGCTGACGACTGCGATTTCCCCAAACGTGGGAAAGTCGGGCGCGCAATTTCTGGTAGGGGGGGTTTGCGTTCGCGCAGCCCCTGAAGAAAAAAGTTAAAATGAAATTTGTGTTCTCTCAGAACCATCCATCCTTGTTGTGTGTGCCTGCATGTACAGCAAGTATTTTTGCAATGCAAGGTGCAATATGGTGCACCTGTGATGCTGAAAAGTGTGATGCGAAGTCACGAAACACCATTCACAGATCAGCGAGTCGCCTTGCAGACTGATGCGCCTCAAACCGTAGAACGGTGTGTACAATACCATAGCATTCGCACAGCTTGGTAGAACTTGTACAGATCTGCAAGCAACTCTTGAAATTAGCGGAAACTTTTGCTGCAAAGAAGGTCAAAGTCACACCTGGCATCGCATGTGACACCGCGAAAGTTGAGCCAATCCCAACATCTACAATCAGCCAGTTGCGACAGCTGTGTGCGTGGCGTACGGAGTGTGATTTGGGGATTACCTGGTATCTCGCCCCTTGCATCGTCGCATCGCAAAACGGCTTCTGTATGTCCCGCTTAACCTGTCCGAAATGCTGTGTACAATTTGCCAATGGCTAGACTTACATCGAGGGTACCTAAGCCAGACTGCACAGCTCCACATCTATACTGCATAAAACAACCGATCTGACGGCCAAGTGTTTTGTTTAGGTGATTGTGAAATAGTGCTAGCGACTTCGGCAATACCGTGTTTGATCATAGGTTGGTAACCATTGACGCCCGTTGACGATCGGACCGCTGATCGATAAATTCTACATTTTCAAGCTATCGGAACTTGGTCATTTCTCAGTCTTACGGAGATTGGAATATCTAGGTCAAGGAGAAGAGTCTGAGGGTGCGTTCTTAAATCCTCTCCGAAAAGTTCGAGAGCTGTTCTTATATCCTCTCCGAATTTTAGGAGGCTCTCCAAGCTCTCCAAGCTTCAGAGGTAGTTGAAACTTGGAGATTCCCGCGGTTTGGGATCAGCGCATGCGAACTAGGCTAAAAGCCACGTGTTGATCATGAGTGTACGCATTTCCCTTTTCGCATACGCACAGCGCATACTATATTCGTGGCACTCAAGATCGCGGCCCCTTTGGCGCTTCATTTTGCTTGACATCTGCAAAATATCTCCGAATTCTTCGAGACCCGTTCTTGAAGAATCCCAGTATCTTCGTCTTCTCTTTTCTTCTTCTCCTAGAAGCTAGAGAATTTAAGAACGCACCCTTAGTTGTAATCTCAAACAATCACTGAAGCGATAGAATATGTAGTTTGAAAAAAAAGCGGGTTGTCATGGTTTTCGGTTTTTGATACTATATCCACTGAAGGGATTTCTACCATGAGTAGATAAGCATGTTAACAGAGACTTCATACTTACCTTGTGCAGGGGACGCCGTGATCAAGAAGGCGGCTCCCTCAGGATGAGGCCCCTCCATTGCACTCGGTTGGGGCTGACGACTGCGATTTCCCCAAACGTGGGAAAGTCGGGTGCTCAATTTCTGGTAGTGGGGGTTTGCGTTCGCGCAGCCCCTGAAGAAAAACAATTGAAATGAAATTTGTGTTCTCTCAGAACTGCCCAACCTTGTTGTGTATGCCTGGCCCGATTCACTGGAGTGCGTAGTAGCTCCGCATCTATGCTGCAGAAAACCGATCCCATTGCAAAGCTGTTTTGTTTAGGTCATTGTGAAATAGTGGTAGCGACTTATTTATTTATTTATTTCTGCACCTCGTAGCATGTCAAGACTGCCAATTGAATTGAGGAGAGGGTGCGCCCAACCACGGAAGAAGAGAAAAAAAGAAAAGAAAAGCATGTACACAAAAGGGGTAGGGAAGTTACAAGTTACACGACTTCAGCAATAGTTTCATTGGAACGGTGGTTCGTTCCCACACCGGAGCATGCATTGTGCGTTTTTCAACAATTGTATGACATGACGCAAAGCGAACCTGATATTACCATAGCGATACGGTAAAATGACCATGTGAACTTGTGTGAAAGGTGCCAAAGGTGAGTTGCCATGACCTAGAATTGTAAACAAACAACTTTGCCGTGGGCTCATTCTCCTGGAGCTGCACCCTCTGGTTTATGTACATGTGTCTAGTCTTGCCTACCCGTACATGTAGATAAGATGGATCATGGGATATCCTGGCATGTTTGGGCATATATGTAGGTTGGTAACCCTTGCGGCCGGAGGATTGATCGATGAATTGAACAAGTTCAAACTTTCGAAATTTGGTCAATGCTCGTCTTGCGAAGAGATCGGGATATCTAGGTCAAAGAGAAAGCTCTCAGTTGTCATCTCAAACAATCGCCACAGCGACATTATAAGCAGCTTGTGATGAATCGCCACAGCAACATTATAAGTGGCGTGTGATGTTGTCATAGTTTTCGGTTTTTGATACTATATCCACTGAAGAAATTTCTACCATGAGTAGATTGGCATGTCAATAGAGACTTCATACTTACCTTGTGCAGGGGACGCCGTGATCAAGAAGGTGGCTCCCTCAGGATGAGGCCCCTCCATTGCACTCGGTTGGGGCTGACGACTGCGATTTCCCCAAACGTGGGAAAGTCGGGCGCGCAATTTCTGGTAGCGGGGGTTTGCGTTCGCGCAGCCCCTGAAGAAAAAAGTTCAAATGAAATTTGTGTTCTCTCAGAACCATATCCACCCTTGTTGTGTATGCCTGCATGTACAGCAAGTATTTTTGCAATGCAAGGTGCGATGTGGTGCGCCTGTGATGCTGAAAAGTGTGATGCGAAGTCACGAAACACCATTCACAGATCAGCGAGTTGCCTTGCAGACTGATGCGCCTCAAACCGTAGAACGGTGTGTACAATACCATAGCATTCGCACAGCTTGGTAGAACTTGTATAGAGCTGCAAGCAACTCTTGAAATGAGCGGAAACTTTTGCTGCAAAGAAGGTGCAAGTCACACCTGGTATCGCATGTGACACCGCGAAAGTTGAGCCAATCCCAACATCTACAACAGGGGCATCGCACACGGTACGGTCACTACTGTATTGACCGTACCACTTTTTGCCCCAGATACCCCGTGAATCAATAAAATACACTGATCTGGGATCTAAAATTCCAAAATGTTCGGCTCCGCCACCACTCCCCCGCGAGTAAATTATACTTCAGATTTATGGCTGACCGTGCCACCCTAAAAAAACTTCCGACGTTGCCCCTGTACAATCAGCCAGTTGCGACAGCTGTGTGCGTGGCGTAGTGAGTGCAATTTGGGGATTACCTGGTTTCTCGCCCCTTGCATCGTCGCATCGCAAAACGGCTTCTGTATGTCCCGCTTAACCTCTCCGAAATGCTGTGTACAATTTGCCAATGGCTAGACTTACATCGAGGGTACCTAAGCCAGACTGCACAGCTCCACATCTATACTGCATAAAACAACCGATCTGACGGCCAAGTGTTTTGTTTAGGTGATTGTGAAATAGTGCTAGCAACTTCGGCGATACCGTGTTTGGTCATAGGTTGGTAACCATTGACGCCCGTTGACGGTCGGACCGCTGATCGATAAATTCTACATTTTCAAGCTATCAGAACTTGGTCATTTCTCAGTCTTACGGAGATTGGAATATCTAGATCAAAGAGAGAAGTCAAGTAGTTGTCATCTCAAACAATCACTGAAACGATGGAATAAGTAGTTTGAGAAAAAAGCGGAATGTGATATTGTCATGGTTTTCGGTTTTTGATACTATATCCACTGAAGGGATTTCTACCATGAGTAGATTGGCATGTTAACAGAGACTTCATACTTACCTTGTGCAGGGGACGCCGTGATCAAGAAGGCGGCT